TTCTAAAAAGTAAAACATTACGCATTTATCTATCCTTCGAATCGATTTCGAGCATCACGACGCCGTTCGAATACGTCATGACTTTGTAAAATCACAGAAATAGAAAAAGAGTAAGATAAGTATTAGTCATTGTTTAGTAATCTAATTTTTGCCAAACAAGATCGCCGCAAGAAAATCAATTTTCTCGTCTACTCATCACGGTGGATTTAAGTAAGCGATATTCGTTTCTGTTCTCTCCACGAAGGAGCGACTTGCTCATAAGTCTCACGTGCGTTTTCTTTTTTCCTAGTCTACGCCGAGATATAAATAAGATAAAATAGTCTCTCGGAATAGCGCCACGACAAAAATAAAAGCATCATCAATCTAAGTAGATCGCCGTGCAAAGTTGACGCACGGTAAGAAGTGCGTAACTAATCGGATCAATTAAACTAGATTTTTCGACGATTCACGTCAAGCAAGAATGGGTAAGCCAGTCGTCGCTGCTTTCGCATAACTTCACTACGTACCGGTAGACCGCGCGATATTCAAACGTAAACATAAGTCTTTCTAGATGGCCGCGTCGAAACGTGATGTTGAACAAGGAAAATGTAATTGCTGTATAATATATTTAACTACGTGGATATCATTTAATGACATGGTTGCCACGAAACTAGAAATCGCAGGGAAATGAAAAGTCTGCAGATCAAAGAAAAGTTACGAAATTTTAGAATAAGGGAATTTGTGGCATAAAACTCTGAGGGGGAGACCGTACGCGAAACTTCACATAATAGATGTCGAGTTTCTCGTGGCGGCTCCTCGTTCGGATCTCGCGACGACAGATCGCGATGACGGGCTAGTCGCGATTTCAATTCATAAAGGAGAGGGAGGATAGGTATGAAAGCGATGTATATCATATAAACAGGGAGGAAGAGAGAGAAGGTGACGCGCTCGCGTAGGTGCGTAATTTATCGCTACGCGGGACGCGCAACGGCCGCACGACGACGTCACACTTCGCGCGCCGTGCGGCCGGCCGGAATGACGTAGCGTGTCGTCGCTCTCTTCTCTCGCTTATCGGTGCTGTTAATCGAAGAGGCGCAACGTACGGCTGCGGCGGGGCGCGTCCCGTTTCGTCCCTCGCGATCGTCTCGCCGACGCCGCTGTGTTGTCGCCGGTGGCCGCGGATGATGCCGCTTACGAAAATATGCGCGAGAGAAAGAGAGAGAGAGAGAGCGTGCGAGCCCGAGAGTTAAAACCACGGCCTCGGCCTCGTGCCGTAGGGAGTTGAGATTGTTCAGAAGCGCAACGTAGCGAGTAAAACTGCCCCCTCGTGGTGCGCGCCCGCGGTTACCGATCATCGCCCATGCACTTCTCGAATCGTGCGCGCCGTCAAGTTCGTACCCCCTACCCCGCGCCCGTTATCCTAACCTTCCTCCCGGTCTCTCCCCCCCCC